GCCATGGTGAAAGCCCTGTGTCCGGCCTCGGTTTCATCTGCTCACATACGAAGCACTTGTCACCCTTGACGCAGTTCCTCACTTGGTGCCCCACTTCACCGCACTTAAAGCACCAACTGCTCCTGTCCTCGCCTTTGCACGCCACGGCAAGATGCCCCACTTCCCAGCACCTACTACACCTTTTCTGTTCCTGTCTCAGTCTCGTCCTACAGAAGGTCAGCCCCACCCGGAGGTACGCGTTCTCGACCAGCTGGTTCGCCGCCGAGCCCCTGTCCAAAATCACATAGGCGATTTGTTGTCCCCTCTCAACCTTTATTAGTGCCTTGAGCCGGCCTCGGGAACCACCTCCCTTACAGCGGTAAGCACTTCGTCGGGCGTCGTTACCGCGTCCAGGTCGCGCACTTCAATCGTCGCATTATCTTCGAGAATAGTAACCTCCCTTTCCGAGATGGCCGTTCTGATTTTACCGAGGATCGGCGCCGACTCCCTTTTCCACTCGGAGTAAAAGGTCCCCGGCCGCGGTCCTCGTGATCGCCTCGATCCTGGTCTTAACACCGCTCATATCCGCCATTCTAATCTTCCGGAGTATCTCTTCCAGATGGTTCTCATTTTTGAGTCTCGCGAGAACAGCCTCCGGATGACACCTCTGTCGGGTAGGCCTCTTGCCAGATTCGCTTTCGGTACCGGTCCCTGTTCCGCTCTTATCCGTGTCCGGATTTCTTGGTTGCCTCTTCATGCGTTCGACCTTCTTTCAGTCCTCTTTCCCAGTTTCGGCCTCTGTCGTCTCGCGGTCCACGAATTTGACATTCTTCGCCCTCGGCCTGTTGATCTCCGCGATCCTTTGGCCGGCTTCTCCACTCGGCCCGGCCTTCGGTTCTTCCTGGCGACCAACTCCTGTCGCTTCCGCATACGTTTTCTGGGGACTCGTCTGGGTTGTCACCTCAGCTTTCCCAATCCCACTCACCGTCTGGACCTGGCTCTCCTTCGTCGCCCTTGTAGCTCCCGGCGCTACCACAGCTGGTCTAACCTGGGGCACCCTGACTACCGCCGTTTGACCTTTAACTGCCGCCACCTTCAAGGCCCTCACGTAAGCGCTCCACCTACGCTCAATCATGGCCCTATGATTAGGCGTCGCTCCTGTACTCGTCCTCTTTTGTCTCCGCCGATAGCATATTGTCCCGGTGGTGGCGTCCGTAAAACCTTCGAGCGGCCCTCCCCAAACGCGTATCCCTCCGATCCGCTCATCTTGGCGCAATAACGTCCAAACTACCCTACTATATGAGTGAGTGAGTACTAGGGTGGGCCGATTTACATAAGGGGAAAAAAATTTTTTGTTTTCTTTTGGGCTCATCGAGAAAAGTGTGTCTAATGAAGTCCTTAGATCGCATATCAATTAAGGTGGAGATCGGATTTCATCTTCTGCCTCCGGATAGAATTTTATAAATCATTTATGAAACAAAACACATGTTGTAAGTTATATGTATGTATTAGAATATTCAAAGAAACAAGAAAAGCATTATCAGCAAGTTACAAAACATGTTTAATTAGCGCGAAAGTCTTGCTTACTATCAAATTTTGACATAGCTTTACGAGACTCAATTTGAGCATGTATGAAGCCTTCTCTATTATTTTTTTGTACCAGTTTTGCTGAAGCTTCAGTAACAGTTTTCACTGCTCTTTCAACTACTTGAGAGTGACATGGGAGACGTAGTAGGGGCAAGTCTCCTTCACCCTTTTGTGCGACAAACATTCGGAGGTCTTCATCGGGGATGTTTTAAAATGGGTGGTTCCGTGATTTCGGACTGCCAATCAATAAGGATCAATAAATTAGGAAAAAAATGGTTCCTACACCATAACCAATAGGTTCAGGGTCAGATAAACCAGTAGGTTACCTGTTCTTCCCCCTGTACCCCTAGACACATAAAGAATATATTTATACACATACATTCTACGAAATAAAACAATTAGCAGTTCAATTTTGATTGAAAACAAGCACAAATCTACTAAGTAACTACCTACTAACAAAGGAAAGAAAAACAAAAACAAAACAATAATAAAATTATGTTAAATTTCGCTCTCTGATTAATAATTTTTTAATTTTCCGTTTAACGGCATCTTCGGACAGGGGCAATAACTGTCTGTACACCGAATTATTACAGAATTTGCAGATGTTAAATGAAAAAGAGCGTTGAAACATTGCTAAATTGTGTATAGGGATGGAAGCTAAACCCCTGTGCCTCAGATTTAAATGATGCACATCTGTTCGGAAGGTGATTTTATCGTACAGGTACGGTGGTATCTTATAAGTTAAAACTTCTAAAAAGTGACGAAGCATGCAGTCGCCTTCTTTCCAACATATTCAACCAACCAAGTCGAGGTAAGGTGTGCGAAATTCTGTCATATTTCCTGATACCAAACACGAAACGTAAGCACGAGTTCTGTACTCGCTGAATTCTGTCACGGTCTTTAGCAACAAACATGGACCATACAAAACATCGCAATAGTTAAATCGCGACAGAACCAACGAGTCACAGAGAACAGCCATGTGTTTGGTACCAAGAATATGACGACTTGAGTAAAGACTTCTCAATTGACCGTAAGCCGAAGCAATAAGGTTGTCGATGTGTTGGGTAAGTCTCAATTTACAATCAATAAGCACACCAAGATTTTTTACACACTTCTCCGATGGAATTGAGTCATTGCCAATTTTTAATGCAATCTTACTGTGTATGCTAATGTTGTCATCACCGAACACTATAAAACACGATTTTGCAGGGTTAATTATTAACGAATGATTTTCCGATGCCTTGTGTACATTTTCTAGATCTTCATTGATACATGCCAGAGGATTCAAGTTCAGTTCTTGTAAAAGAGTAATACAACTGGGTATCGTCCGCATAGAGATGGTATTTACAGTGATTTAGTCCTGTCAACAAATTAAATGTATAAACTGTGTATAACAAGGGTCCTAATATGGAACCTTGCGGAACACCTCTAGACAGTCGTAAGCTCAGAGTCCACTCCATTTAGAGTTACTCTTTGGCATCTATCACTCAGGTAATTACGTATAAGCTTTAAAGCATTATAATCCAGTCCGATGAATTTCAATATTGCATTGAGCACTTGATGGCTTAACATGTCAAATGCCTTAGAATAATCAAGTAGAACCAGATTAGTGATTTTTCCACAATCAGTTTCGGTAATGATATCAACTATACTACATAGTGCGGTTGCACAACTATATCCCGCTCGAAAACCTGCCTGAGTCAATGGCAATATGCTATGTTTACTTAAAAACTGCCGTAAGTGGTATTCTCTAAGACTTTTGACAATGCAGGCAATATTGTAATTGGTCGTAAATCTTTAAAACTGTTAACATGAGCAGTTTTTGGAACAGGTATGACTCTGCCCTCTTTCCAAGCTGTTGGATATACCGAATTTTCCATACAATAATTAATTATGTGAGTTATATGAGGTAACAAAAATGGACAACACATTTTTAAAACATCAACATTTATACCATCACAGCCACTTGATTTGGACATTTTACTTAAGATCTTAGCAATTATCACCTTATCAACTAAAGTAAAGGAAAACCTTGTAGAGTCCTTGTGGTAGCAGTTATTGGCATATTTGTTTATGATATCAATATTATCATATGCGCTCCTCACCGATTCTACGAAGTATTCATTAATCTTATTAACGTCGTTCAAATTAGGTGGAATTGATATATTACTAGAAGAACCGCAAATATTCATTTTCCTCAACGACTGCCATACAGTCTTTGGGGATTTGGTCTTAAACGTAAATTCCAAATACGCCTTCTTCTCAGCTTTAACTGCAGTGTTTGTTAGGTTACGCAGGGTTTTATAATAATCCCAATGACTAGGACATCCACTGCGTTTAAAGCGTTGAAGTGCTTTATTTCTTAATGACATCATAATCCTCAAGGTATCCGTCAACCAAGGAGCGAATGGTTTTGTAAATTTTGATGTTTTCACTGGAGCACGAACATCTAGTAAATGTATAATATTTACAGTAAGGAATTCCACTTTATCATCTATGCTAGGAAGATTGTAAATTGTGTTCCAATTGACAGCTCTTAAGTCGCGGTCAAATAACTGATAGTCAAAGTGCTTAGATGAATGTAGTACTGCTGAGGTAATGGCTGCCGCAGCCCTATCCGAGACACCAAATCTGTCACAAGTCTTTGAAAGCAAATCGTAGTCTATTTTTTCAGAGATGAGCTTCTGGTAGACGGTACCGTTGTTTCGACTTGTTTCAAATGTTGCGGTGGTTCGAATTCATCATCTTGATCCGAGGTAGTACATTCAGAAGAATCCGATAATAAGGAAACATTTGGTTTATTTTTGATTTGTGTTTGAGACGGAAATGTTAACTTTGGCTGAGCTAATTTCCTTTTCAAAGTCTTAGTTAGTTTTCTTGTAGTAACCGCATCTACTCTGCCAATAAACATTTTCCTGTTTGATCGTTGGTCGATCAGGAAGTTCTGCTGTGATTGTAGATTGTAGAGCCTTTAAGGTCAACGGCATCAAGTTCAAATTGTAGAAGTTCTCCAGCTTCCAATGCAATAAGTGAAGGCCCTACAGCCACAGTTTGTGGGAGATCAAATCGCGGAAATTCTGAGTTGAAAAGAACCACACACTTCTGCACACGCGGAATCGTAAGTGTGACGATCCGCAACCTTCAACGTCCAAGTCCGGACAATCTTTAACGTTTCCCAATACAATGAAATAATTTTATAAACTAAATGTACCTACACAATGTGACGGTCACATTTTGACTTACGCTGTATATGTAAGGTTTCGGGGAATGTATGCGATTCGGGAGTCGGCGCAGTCCTTTTTGGGTTAGTCAAGCGCACGGTTGTAACGCTAAGTTTGAGTGGCGCTGATTTACAAACCCCACGTTAAATAAAGGGGATGCCTCAGCTAGCGGCTCAATTAAATTAAACCACACGAAACTATAATACTCAGGGTAGGGCGTGGGACTAACGATTTGACTTACCACCTCAAACAATAAATGGGCGCCACCTTGTTCACTACTAGAGAAGGTCTTCGGTTCAACCTGAACAAGGAAGGTTGATACCACTGCAGGGCAATAAATACCCTGTAGGAACGAGCAATAATCCAAAACACTGGAGGTAACTTCAACGGTGATAGTATAATTTGTAACCAACAGTATAGCAATTACACATGCAAATAATCACAGAATCAATTTAAGGTACCCCAAAACACACAGTATAACAAGTAACAATAAATATGTATAAAATCGACTACTAAAGTAGATATATATATAACAACTAATGACTAACCCACAGGTAATATCACATGCAAAAATTAGTGAGCGGCAACCGATGCGAAGCCCGTGGGTTAAATTAACCCACGCTTCCCAAATAGTAGTCTATCCGCAAACAAAATGGTCTTCCCACCCTTGCTTTTCCCTTTTTATAGTTAGGTCGGCAGTGGCCAAGCAGCCTGGATTAAACGGTGTTGCATAAATTGATAGTTCTAGGCATTAATTATAAGCTAAACACTTTAATGACGTGGTACGGGGTTGCTTAGTTAACAAGGCGGTATGAGTACTCATGCGCTTACAAATTCAACGGGATCCACAGCAGTATGACCCGTAAATGTACCAATTATTCCTATCCCCTTACTTTGTACCTCCGATCGGTAAAGTGCCCCAGATGCGAGCGTAACCCTTCGCTTAAGATTAACATTAGGAGTGCCTATGCAATGGCAAATAGTACTAATATCGAAAGGCAAAGTTTATTTCACCGTTCTCCGGAAACGTGGCGGCTACGTGGTGTTCCTGCTCCCCTTAAGATTCTTCGTGTCGGTTGTCCACCCCCGTGGTTACAAATCTCAGGATATCCGGGAGCCCTCAGCTCGGGTAATAACCGCTACAATCGGCCTCTAGGTGGACAATCGGATGACAATAAGGTCCAGCAGTGGGAAACCAACCATGCGTGACCACAAGTTTGACATGAGATAATTACGTGCGATACAAAAAAAACAGGAAAAGTAAAACCCTAAAACAATGTCGGAATTAATACTGGTTTTTGGCCAAGATTTAAGCATACCTCTTAATTAAAAAGAGGGCTTTTTAAAACTCGTTAATTAACGAGATGCCTCGAGGTTATCGGCAATCAAAGCTCTGGCTTAGGTGATGCGAAGAACAGGTGCGTTATCTAAAAGAACAGCGTGGCTGTGACAATAGAAATGATACGCAGATGTTACTTACGTCAAGCAAATGTATTCAGATCCCGTAACGGTAAATGGATAAAATGGTCTAACAAACCAATCTCCAAAACATCGATTATTCATGGACTCGAAAATCCGCAATTCGGCGATATGTAACTATATTATGCCCATGAAAATTTTCCAAGACGCCATCACACCTGTTCGTTTTTAAAGCAAGCACCAATGAATGAAATATTCACCGCTTAATACGTGTCGGTGGAGTAACGCACATGCGCAAAAACATAGAAAATATTCCCAATTTGCAATATGCCAGTGGCGTAACCTAATATCGGCCTGTAAGAATCCGTAGCATAGAGAAAATGAACGGTGAGAAGAATTAAAACCGTTACACGGTGTTGGAACAGAGAGGGTCGTTAAGATGGCGATGGTTGAATAGTTGGTGTGTTTTGGAAAGTTGCTCTTGATGGAAATTCGGTAATTGTTGAGACGTTCGATTGGTTTTGGTTAAATGGAGTTGGAGGATCGTCTTAAGCCGCTTGCGGGATTCGAGCCGAACTTATTCCATTTATATACGTGGGGTTAGACCACGCGGTGATTGAACCGGAGATTATAGCAACAAGTTGGGACCATCCGCCGTTATTTTGTCAATCCGTCCTTTGATAGGGTAAGCGCCTTTCTGATCCTTTGGGTGTGTTGGTCATTTTTCTATTTGTGATCATATTTTAGACAGTACCGACCTGGGGAGTAGTCTTTACGTTATCGTCGTGGTCGCATGTAGATTTGGCCATCGGTGTATGTGTAGCTGTTTAAATCGAGGGGGGAAGCCGTCTCTAAACTGGAGCCAGTGTAGCGAAGGATTTGAATTATCGGAGGAAGCTGTCCGAGCGAATCGCAGTCTAAGATCGTAACCATCATCGAGACAGGGTTCGACCCATTGTAACTACCATTACTGGAGCGCAGAGGAAGTTGTCGGAGGGAGTCGGCTAGAGCTAAGTGTTTATTTATAATTGTATTTGTCGGAACGTTGTCGGTGACTTCTGTCGTATGGTTGTTTTGTTTTTGGATGGCGACGTTAGACATTCACAGGAAATAATCGTTGGCAAGAATCCTGCGGATTCTCATTTGGTTCTGTGAATCGGGGTTGTGATCCCCATTGCTTAACGATTTAGTAGAAGTCATTTCGTCTCCTAGAATTGAGCTTTTGTGAGTTTTTATCAACTTTGTATTTATTGAGTCGAGTCATTTGATAAAATTGTAATTGTGTTTTGGCTTTTGTAAAATCAATTGGCCCGTTAATAAGACCAAGAGTCACCGAGAAATCAAGTAACGTTCTATACATTTGTGTTTGCTAAGTTAACGTCAAATATTTTTCTTGTTGGGGTGGGGAAGATTTACCAGTATTCTGGAATTTTGATATTTATTAATTGGGTATATTAATTCTGGTTGTTGAATAATTTTGTTGCATGATTGTGTGGCGACCATGACAATATAGGTGGTTGTCCTACATCATCACTTAATTTCGGGAACTCTACTTGGCTGTAGCGTTCCGTGGTCATCTCTGTGAACAGTTTATAGTTCGCAAGAGTGTTCGCATCTACCACGTACCAGTCTGGAATGTCAACTTGAGGTTGAGGAATGGCAGCAATATTATATTGCTTCCCATTTACTTCGCAGAAGTACGGGCCCAGAGCATAAAGGAACTCACCAATAGGTTGTGGGAGTTTGATCGTCCTAGAAATATTCAAGGCATTCGCTGTTCTAGCGTTTGTCTGAATTTCATTAATATCCTGAAGTCGTTTCAGGGTCAATGTTCGCATCATTCGAACGAATGCTGCACTAGTCAGAGGAGCGGCGATAATGCCACCGAGTGTACTCTCCATTATGGAGTAAGTCCTTTCAGCTACTCGAAGGAGTAGTCCTGGGTTGATGGTCAGTGTCTGGCGTGTTCGTGAAGCATTAAGCCGACCGAAGGCGAGTTTCATCTCTGCATGGTCTAGCGGTTTAGGAGTAATCCCGCTTCTTCCGCCGAGTACGCTTGGACTTCCTTCTTGGGACATCATGGTCTCGGATTGATGTCGAAGGAGTTACTGTGGTTGATTGACAATTTAAGTCTGTACAAATACGTACCTGACTTAGCTGTCCTGTGTCACAATCGTGTGTGTCTTTCCGATTTCTGATTGCAGCTCTGATAAGAGCTTGTCCTTCTGTGATTGCTAATGAATAGTGGGCACCATCCACAACAAAGCACTTCCGTTCAGAATCATTATGACTGATTTAATAGAATCAAATAAAAACAATCAGGTATTCGCTTACCAAATTGACGTCCTTGATCCGTCGTAATGCGTTGTGGACATCCATAACGAGACACCCAGGTGGAATAAAATGTTTTTGCTACTGTTTCGGCGGAGATGTCCACCATAGGAGTAGCCTCCGGCCACCTGGTGAAACGATCGGACATTGTGAGACAATATCTGTGCCCTTGGGAAGGTAGGAGTGGTCCTACGATGTCAATATGGACATGTGAAAATCTACTATCTGGAACAGTAAAAGAAGTTAGAGGGCTCACTGTGTGTCGTGATACTTTCGATTTTTGACATTGTATGCATGATCGCGCCCAGGACGTGATGTCTCGATTCATGAATGGCCAAACGAATTTCTTCTTTATCGCTCGACCGGTGTTTCGTCCACTAGGGTGTGAGAGATTATGAAACATATGGAAAACTTTTCGTCGTAGACTTTTAGGTACATAAGGACGGATTATGCCTGTAGAAACATCGCAGGCTATTGTTGTTGAACTGTTATCAAATGGACAAAGCTTTTTCATTTCTAACGATGTTTCGCTTCCATTCAACAGCCGTTGTAATTCTCCATCAATTTCTTGTTCAGCGGCGAGTGTTTCAGTGTCGATTACAGTAGGCGTGATTATTTCTTCGATTCTGGATAAAGCATCAGCAACGACATTACTTTCTCCAGGAATATGTATAATGGAGGTTGTAAACTGGCTTATAAAGTCAAGCTGTCTAAGCTGGCGAGGAGAGGATTTATCTGACTTTTGTTTAAAAGCGTAAATCAAAGGTTTGTGATCGCACTTTACTATAAAATCTCGCCCTTCCACCATAAAACGAAAAAATTTAATCGATTCGTAAATGGCCAGAAGCTCGCGATCATATGTACTGTACCGTTGCTGTGTTGGACTCAACTTCCTCGAGAAAAAACCTAACGGCGTCCATGAATCATTATTGCACTGTTCCAGGACTGCGCCGATGGAGGTATCTGAAGCGTCGGTTGTCAGCGCGAGTGTTGTACCTTCGATTGGATGTGCTAGAAGAGCACAGTTCGCCAGATCTTTCTTGCATCGTTCGGAAGACATTTCAGCTTTGGATGACCATATAATAGCCGTTTTGTCGTTTTTACAGCTGTTCTTCAGGTAATCGTTCAAAGGAGCCTGGATTTCAGCAGCATTCTTCATAAATCTCCGATAGAAATTTACCATGCCTAGGAAACGACGTAGGTCCTTGACGATGGTCGGTTTCGGAAATTTGAGGATTGCAGATACTTTGCCAGGGAGCGGCGAGCTACCATCAGCTGATATCAGGTGGCCTAAATATTCTACCTGATCAGCGCCTAAAACACATTTTGCAGGATTAACAATAATTTTGAATTCTTTAAGGCGCTGAAACACTTTTTCAAGGTGAAATAAATGCTCTTCAGGAGAAGAGGAACAAATTAAAATGTCATCAATATAACAAAAACAAAAATCAAAATCTGCTAACACTAAATTAATATGTCTTTGAAAAGTTTGAGCTGCGTTTCTTAAGCCGAAAGTCATTACATTAAACTCGAAAAGTCCAAAAGGTGTGATCACTGCAGTCTTTGGAATATCACACTCAGCCACGGGTATTTGATTATAAGCACGCACTAAATCTATTGTCGAAAAAATTGTTTTACCGTGAAGCTTATAAGAAAAGTCTTGCAAGTTTGGCACTGGGTACTTATCTGGAGTGGTAATGTTGTTTAATCGTCTGTAATCACCGCAAGGTCTCCAGTCTCCTGGTGTTTTCTTGGGTACCAGATGAAGTGGGCTAGCCCACGGGCTATTGGATGGTCGGCACCATCCTTGATCCATCATAAACTGGAATTCCGCCTTGGCAATTCTTAATTTTTCGGGCGAAAGTCGACGAGCTGGTTGCGATACAGGCGGTCCAGTTGTGATAATGTGGTGCACCGTGGAGCTCTTCACTTTAGTGTCTGGCGGTACGGGGCGAGTGATATCTGGAAATCGAGCCAAAACCTCATGATATTTTGAAGAAACTACGAGAGTTGTAATTGTTGGAGCATCGCAGTCTTCAATGCTAGCGACAGAGGTGAGTTGAGTTCTCGAGTCAATAAGTTTTCTGTTTCTTAAATCAACTAGCAAACTATAATAACTCAAAAGATCTGCGCCTATGATGGGTTGAGAGACGTTGGCTATAACGAAAGTCCATTTATACGATCGCCTTAATCCCAAGTCGAGGCAAATTAATTTTTCTCCATAAGTTGATATTGGTGAGGCATTGGCTGCGAAAAGCGACACTTTAGTGGGTATGCAAGTTGACTTACCCAAGAACTGCTTTGGAAGCACCGATATATCTGCTCCCGTGTCGACTAGATATCGAATTCCGGACTTTTTATCTGTTATGAAGAGGCGATGATGTTTTTCGCTACCCCCGAACACTGCCTCATGTGTCGGTGGGTTGTTTAGTTTTCCTTCGGCTTGAAATTACAGGGAGGCTTGCATTTTCTTGCCTTTTCACCGAAACTGGCATGGTAGTAACAAACTTCCTCTGCTGGGCGATGTCTAAAGTTACCGGAGTGTGTGCGTGAACGAGATTTAGATCGACCATAACGCTGTTGTGAACGTCCTCTATCAGTGGTGAGGGTTTTAACCATGTCAGTGAGCATCTCAATTTGTTTTTGCATTACTAATAATGCAGATGCAGATTCTGACATGTCCGTGCGTCTGGGAGACGCAGCACGGTTGACTGCAGAAATCGACCCAGAAGCGTATATTTCCACAAGTTTGTCTGCGACGTCGGCCATCTTATCCAACGTGACACCTTCGCTGGCAGAAAGAATGAGCTGGACATTTTGAGGCAAGCGCTGCACCCACAGGGTCTTCAGTACGTCTTCGTTAATGCGTTTATCTGCTAAGCTTCTCATCTGTCGCAGTAATTGGGAAGGTTTGTGATCACCTAATTCAATTTCATTAAGCAGCTTGCGCAACTGACGATCCTGCGAGTCAGAATACGCCGCAATGAGTTTCTTCTTTATGGTCTCGTATTTGTCTGTCGAGGGTGGATTAGCCACGACGTCGGAGACTTGTTGTAATACATTACAATCTAGTGCAGCTACCACTGTGAAAAATCTTGTGATGTCTGACCTGATTTTATACGTATGAAATTGGGCATCTACTTGTGCAAACCATAGGACGGGATCCTTTTGCCAAAAAATTGGTAATTTAACCTTTCTAATCTCCTCTATCGTATCTGTTGTAGGTTCCGGTTGTTGTCGACTTTGCGCTAATTGTTCCTGCAGTCGCGCGATGAGCGTTTGTTGTTCCTGTAGTTGTTGTTCCATTTTTCAGATGTGTCCGCACGTAATCACTCACGTCTCAAGTCGGGGGTCACCAAATTGTAGCGTTTTATTACAAAATACAGGAAAAGAACTATTAGCGATTTGAAAGATAACAGAATGTCAATTATTAATTATTTTTTTTTTTTTACCTAGACAACCACCTATATTGTCATGGTCGCCACAATTGATTATGAGGGCTGTGTAACTGCTGTGATTTCGTGTTGGTTCAGTGTATAATTAGTTGCAGCGAATTAGGCTGGAAAAGGTACCGTCGGTTATTGCGCAATACCCCACGAGGTTTGGATATTTAAATTGTGAATATAAGTTGTGTCCGGGTTTTATTTATTTCGTATTTAGCACTAGATTTTGGGTGCTGTTATTATAGTAGGTTGCCTACTATTCGGGCGTTGAAATCATAGGGTTATTGCCGTGCCTTTTTGGCATGTGATTATTCTGGCTGGGGTTCATATTAAAAAGGGGAGGTCACTTGCTTGATTCAGGCGACCCTGAGTATTTGTATGTGTGGTCAATTTGCGTCTTGATAAATATAAGCTGTGATATTTTGGTTGTGTGTGCTAGAGTTACATCTACCATATTAATTCATTCCTTGGGACCCATGTTAATAGAATTGTTATGCATATCTAGACATAAATAATTATTGTCAGGCTGAATAAATCGGAACTAGTCAATTGTATGGTGACTTTTAATTGGCAGTATCTATCTGGGTGTAGGGTTATTGGAAGCCTGAGTTGTCGTCGGAATTTTAGTACCATCTACGGGCCAGCTCCCGTCAGATCCAGCAGCGGTGTGTATTTATTAGAGCAGGTGGCGCCCACATTTTTCCGGTATTTCTTGTGTATTTAGGTTCAAGCCAACGAGGGACCCGACCCGTCTCCACTGGGCTAGAGAGGGTGCGCTGCGGACAACGTCAATAAGCAAAGACGACAATCAGGGGAAAAGATGTAGGGTGCTAGCACTAGTGTTATTTGATTCTGCTTCGGCTCGTAGCCAGTTGGCGTTGCAACAACTATTACTTTGCTTACCTAAAATAATCATTTGGGTGCGATAAATGGCATCTAAAGGTAATGGATGATCGTAAAGACTTCCACTTTGGGAAAAGACAATTTCCAAAGTATCTTGGTTTAATCTGTGTGTTAGTAAATACTTTCACATCTTTGATTGTAGTCTATATTCCAAGCTTCACATTTAGCTTTCTAAACAACTGTTTAGTAGATGATATTGAAACTAAAATTGCTTTCTGCTTTCAAAATAGAATGTTGTACATCAAGATGCCACCCATATGGCACCATTGGAAGATAAGGAAGAAAGAAAACAAAACTGGAGATCAAGAGTGGAACAAATAAAGTAGAAGGTCTTAACCGAGTCAAAAGAAAAATACTACATTCGATCAGTACTTTTTGTCCCTTGGAATTATCATCAGCATATTACAGACCTTACTCGAGCAACATATATATATATATATATATATATATATATATATATATATATATATATATATATATATATATATATATATATAAAACTTCAAGTGAACGCTAATATAACCCAGGAGAAGGAAAAGGAAGTTGTACAACCTTGGGAGAATAGACAAAATGATTTATTGTTTGGCAAAATAAAACACGAGATTAACCATCTTAACTGTCGCGGGAAATTCATGTTTAAATCCTACAATTCGGCCATTCTGACCTGTTGATCACCTCGATCAATCATAACATAAAGGTGACATAATAAATAACAGGCATTAATGACGTAAGTTAAACATAAACATAAGGTGCATACATAAATGTACACACACAAGGACATAAGAGGGGTTTAACATAATTCCTAAAATTTCCGCAAAATGGGTTTTTTCATATCTAAACTAAATATAAACAAATACAAAAACCCAATTAAATTATAACATGCTTCTTAACTACCACAAGAAAATACATGATCAATTGTGTGCCCGTAATCTCAAATGAGATACATCTACAACTCCTTCATACGGTACACGAGTAATTTGGTGGTCATCGATATCAACTATAACATATCGTTATCTAATACTTGTTTAACAACATAATGGTCCTTTAAATAATGGAATTAATTTTTTGCAAACCTGCAGTTGATGGTGATCATTGTTTGTCATATTTACATAGTCGTGTATTTGATAATGTTTCGGTTTTCTATGCCTTTTATCAAAGTAAGATTTGTTATATTCTTGAGTCTTTATTTTATCAGTAGCAGTATTTCTCTGATATTCTCCAAGTCACGTTCATTATCATTATTACCAAGCATAAGTTTTAAAGCATCGTTAATGTTAGCTAACTGATTAATTCCAAATAAAAGTTTTGCTGGTGTTTCTGTTCATCGATTAATTGTATTGTTAATAGTGAATTCTACGTCAACATCTGCTTAATGCAAATCCCTGCAAAAAGCTCCACCACAAAATTCGGGGATTAATGTCCTTTTTCTTTAGTGCTAAATTCAAACTGTTGTATGTAAAATTTTGGAAAGTAATGCCTTGCAGATAAGTTCGAAATCGCTTCTGTAGTCGAAGTCCTTTGAAATAAAAAACTCTATGAAAGTGACCAATCCTTTTGTTTCTGCAAAAATACAGAACCAAAACCAAGTTTACTGGCGTCACAATGAATTTGCGGTTCAGCAGTGGGGGAGTAAATCGCCAAAACTGGTTCAGAAGACAGAATACATTTTAGTTGGTTAAAAGCATGTAAATAAATGTCACTAAAATTAAAGTTTTTTTAAGCATATAAGTTACTTCGGTTTTTAGTGAAATTTAAACTGAGCAATATCACCATATCTTAAGTTGCGTTAGTACAGAACAAGCAAAACTATCCAATGTCGTGATACGTGAGTTTAGCTGTTGCGGTAAATCAGTGCTTGCATGTGCAATGGGTTCTCTGGATAGTTTTAACAGTTGTTTTCAAAGTATAAAATTGCTCTCACGGAGTAAAATTTTGATCATAACTGGATATAAACCATTACAATTAATGGCAATTTATAACATAAGTTTAATTATTTGGTTTTACACCGAGTGGTTGCTCAAGACCAAGAGGAAACATTAATGCTAAAAACTTCAGATGTATTTTACTCGGAACAATCTGATTAAGGTATACGATAGTCGGACACACCTAAAATGTTGGTCATACTTCAACTGGAAGACGTCAAAATTAAACGTAGGTATACATCACGTACCCACGACGTGAGACTGTCACATGTCTAGGACTTCGATTCTTTACGTGATTTGTGCATCTATTATTAACGTGATTTATACACCTGCCTTCAACAATTTTGTCACGTCTTTTTTTGACGGCGTTTTTACGTTTTAGAAACCAATGTTTTGGACGCTCCTGTCACGTCGAGTCAAATAAAAAAAAGTCAAAAGATTAAATGTGTTTCTCCACTTATTATTTATACAAATGTTAATAATGTAAGAAGGGAATACATTTTTTTGTTTATTATTTTACAGAGAAACATGCCTGGAAATATTTGTCACTATAATAAATGTGGGAGAAGCACAGTCACTGATGGGGTAACGTTACATAGATTTTCGATCGAGGATCAATAGACTACAATGTTGGATTATAAATTCAGATATATTTCCATGTTTATTTTAAATTGTTAGTAAACTTGAAATGCTAGAATGGTAATTGGTAGAATCCGAAACTTAATATATTTATTTATTTCTGTGTATATTAGTTTACACATCGATTTTCTGCTATATTTCGTATTCTGGACAAATGTAATTAAGTAAAAAAATATCTTAACCAGCACAGCAGAGCTATTATTTGTTTATCTTACTAAAATATTAAAATTGTAACAATCTGTTAAAGGAAAGCTCGACACCGATACCCACTAAACGATACATTCGTGTTTTCAATTTTATTTATAATTTGATTGTTGCTTTTGTTATGTCTGTAATGTGACACGTTTATTTGCCCCAGGTAATGTGAATTTAATTCATCTCGAAAAAAGCAAGCTAGAAAATCGGTTCATCTACTACTTCACCAATAAAACTTCCATCTACAAAAACACCTACTAGAAAATCCAACTACTTACAAACGGAAAAGGTTTCGCGTTTCTGATGATCAAACAAGAAGAGTTCAAGAAAAAATGTTAACAAGGTTAACATCCACCAAAAAAAAAGTTGAAAGCGTATAAAGTTTGTGTTTCAAGACTGCGCAAAATTGTCAACAGTAAAAAACAATTGGACACTATTGATTGAATATTCAACCAATTTTCATTCTCTTCGCATTATTAAAAAACCATTACACGCATGCAGTTAAGGAAGGCGCATACACCATGAACACTAGCAGAGAAAATATTGAGCATATTACTATTTTATAAGTCGCCTTCAGTCTATATAGAAAATAGATTAAAACTACCAAATTTAAACCAGGTATAAGTTTAAAGGTGTTCGAAGAACTAAAGAAAAATTCATCAATTCGTCATATCTGGAAAAATTTTGTTTCGTCGTATTTCATGAAATTTAAAGAATAAACTAGAATATTCAAAAAACCTCGATGTAATAGAAGGGTTTGAAGACCTAGGTCCACTGGGAAGAAATCTGATACAGTGCGCTTACACATTGGTCTTTTGCCTTGGAAGATGCCTGTTGGATATTTCCTTAGCCGACATGGTGTAAAGTCTTCCAAATTAGTTTAATTAATCAAAATTGTAATCGATAAATTATTGGATGCTGGTTTGATAGCAAAAATTACAGTATGTGAGTAGCCATATATATCCGACACTAACTCAACTCTTAAGTAAAATCCCACAAGACGATTTTCAAAACTCCTGAACGTCATCTGACTCGTCCCTAGCGGTGACTTGGAAAGCTAAATAAGAGGTCTCAAAGGTTAATAACCTTAACTACGCAAGTTTAATGGTTAACAATTCTATCACATTGAAATGTAGGTAAATGGAAGGTTAACGACCCTATACTGTTGGAACAGAGAGGGGAGGGGGGTCATGAACATGAAGTCGTGTACGGGAACGGTGAATACAGTGTACAAGAGTGGCT